GAGGCAATGATCCAATATATATGTATTTAGTAATTTTATTTCTAAAATGGAATAGATCTCAACAAACAGCAAGAAAGTAAATTATTATAAAATAATCGCAGATATATATATGTTACCTGTATAAACTCCTGTCTCAAGGGTCTAAAATGGAATTAAGACGTTGGCGTTATGTTTATTTTATTTAGCTTCGTCAAGGTATTTTTCCAGGTTTTTTTTCGGGGTTGATTCCCAGATTTTCAATCGTCGTGGTAAGTTCTTTATTTTTAAGATAGGAAAATTTACGTATCTGTCATCGTCGTTTTTTTTTCTTTTCGACCATTCAAGTACTTGTTAATTGTAAGAGGCAAAAGTATGCAAGACAATCTATCTCTCTTTCTCTCTCTCTTTTAGCTCACCTGATCTGAAAGCTTTTCCAATCGTCCCTTATCCGTCGTCTGTCTTTCTGTCTGTCCTTTGTCTGTAAACTTTCATATTTTCAACTTCTTCTCAAGAACCACATGATCAATTTTAATCAAACTTTATACAAAGCATTCTTGGGTGTAGGAAAGTTTAAATTGTCAAATTGAAAGGCCAAGGGAAGATAATCAAGAAAAGACAATAATAGGTTTTGGCCATTAAAAATCTTCTCAAGAACCACTTGGCCAGAAAAGCTGAAACTTTCTATAGATCACTAAATTTTCGCGACACCTAATTTTCACGAGATAGTCATTGACTCATGATTAGCGGGGGTTGGGTGGGGTCATAATAGGTATCAAAAGGAGGATCTGGTTAAGAATAGCAGGGCTAAAGTTACTTACGTGTGTGATTTACAAAAATCAGAAACATTTTTCAAGCATTCTTTTTCATCATTTGTGGGGAAAAAAAGATTCATCTGACCATGTCATGTATTTTAGGTATCACAATTTTTATTAGAATATCATTTCAGTGAATAAAAACAATTAATTCTGATGTCTAGGACAACTAGATATTTTTGCATCGCTCCATCTTGAATTACCTTGATTTATTTGTCCACGTAGCGCAGTGGTTATAGCGTCTTCTTCAGAGTCGCAGGTTCAAATCCATTGCAGGACGTGGAGACCAGTCCTTTGGAATAGACTATATAAACGGAGGTCTTGTATTGCAGTATAGGTGTTACCACAAAAAACTCGCTATTTAAAGACCCTGAGTTACAAGTATAGTTTAAGATTTGCATCCCGAGTCTCCATATGAGTGAAAAATTCTCGAGAGGAATGCTACACAAATATAAAACTGAAAATACCCCCAAAAAACTGGAGATTGTGTTTGGTTAAACGAAATATTCTCTCAATTCAATTTAAAGAAAAAAAAAATAGGGCTTTCATATTACAGTTGCATAATATCTATGACAAAACCTTTCTAAAAACTCAATGATTCTTGACCTCATGACCTTGAAGTTTAACCTACTTTTTCAAAATATTTAACCTTGCTCATGGCATTTGATTGAGAAGACATATGACTTTCATATGAAACATGTTTAGTGCTTGTGAAAAGACCTTTATGAATACACTACGGTTTTCGATATTGTGACCTTATCCTTGAAGTTGGATAAATTTTCAAAAAATGTTGATTTTTTCCTTATTACATTTGATTATAAAGAGATAGGGCTTTCATATTTGACATGTGCATTTCCTGTGACAAGATAATTCTGAGCATGCTACGATTTCTGACTTGACCTTGACCTACACGATTGACCTACTATGATAGCTTTTGAATGACCTTATAAAAGGGTGTTCATATTTTACACAATATGCCATAAAAAATGACATTTTACCCACAAAGGTAGCGAAAGCAGGAAACCACAATTCTTTGAATTTGCTCGTATTCCTATGAAACAGGTCGCCCACGTGGTGCAGTGGTTAGAGCGTCTGCTCTAGAGTCGCGAAGTAAGGAGTTGATCCTTATGTCGCGGGTTCGAGTCCCACTGTGGGACGTGGAGACCGGTCCCTCGGATGAGACCGTATAAACCGAGGTCCCGTGTAGCAGTAGGTGCTGGCACGAAAAAGATCCCTCACTGTTCAATGACCCTGAGTGACGAATATAGGACAAAATTTGTAGCTCTCCACCAGCAAGTGGTGGCGTCTCCATATGAGTGAAAAATTCTCGAGAGGGACGTTAAACAACATACAATCAATCAATCAATCCTATGAAACAGAAATGCACAATTCTTTAAAAGCAAGGATTTATATTGGGAAGACTCTATGTTTAAAGTCAAAATACTTTTAACACTTTGGTTCTTGGTCAAGAGTAAAAATAAAAAGCTAGTTGCCCTCAAACCCATTCAGTAGATGTGTATTGTTAAAACATGCTAGTAGCCTTTTAAATTTTCCCTCTCATGCCTCTGGTGTGTGCATATCAGCTTTCAGCTTATAAAAGTCTGTATAAAACGCTTCTCTTATGAGTTTTACTTTAAGAGGAATGGAAACAGAGAACAAATTGAGTTACATATGGGATTATATCTATCTGAGCTAATAAAATTAGACGGAGGCTGTTATATGGATTTCTAGTGCAAAATGACGACGCTTTAGTCCGTGATTTTTTAACGAATTATTCAATCTGCATTGATTAAACTACAAATCCAGATAACTCATCTAAATTCAAAGACATATATCTATAAGCATTTCTAAAATTAACTTGAAATATTAGGGTAAAATAACATTAAGTCTAATCCACTGTTTACAACAAAAATTATAGGCCTTGGTGAAGTAATAAAAAACACATTCAAGAACGACTTGGGTTGAAAAAAGCAACGAAAGGAGTAATTTTCATAATTTTAAAATATTTATAATAATACATTCTTTCATATATAAATTTAAGTTTACTTAAATTTTTTTATTATAATCAATAAGTGTCCTCCTTGAATGTGAAAGTCTGAAATATTGTATAGCTATGCTTTGTAATGGTAATTTTGTTTCATGTCTTACCGGGGTAGGAGAGGCAGAGATTGACCAATCAAAGTCTTACCAATCAAAATCTAACAAATGAAATTCTGACCACGCGGTGCGTTACTCTGCCTTTTCTCCCATCTACATCCTTGGAGGACGGACGTTTTTTCAAAGTTTGTTATTTATTATATCAAGATTTTGGTGAGTGGGTCTGAACTTTCCCTAGTTCGGTCAAGTCAGTGGCGTTTTCAGACCCATTTTCATGATTTTTCTGTTAAATCTAAGTGGTAACTACTGTAAATTTGGATTATCTCCCTTTACAAAATTGGTTTATTTCTCATCTTGATATCTTGTGTCTGCTAAAAATTATATGTCATTGTTAATGATACTTTTGAGAATTTCAAACAAATTATTAAACGTCACAAAGGTGGCAACACACGACAAACTGTTTTACAGACTTTTTACTCATTGAAGGAGGATAAGATAAGGTGTTCTAGCGTTGAAATAATTATGGAAAGAAGTTAGCCAGTTGATGGGTAAATGGGGTATCAAAATACTTATTGCATTAAAATAAATAGCTCTAGGTTTAAAAAGGGATTCCTATAGTTAAGAACCATTTCTTACGACTTTTAAGGAAGCTCTAAACAATAACAGAAAGTGTTTTTTGGACTTGGAACAAAAAAATATATCATATCAAGGTCTGCATATTTAGACTAATTCATTTTCAACATAGGGTACCTGTCTTATTTCAGCGGTAAAAATGTTCAGAGACAATGGACTATTTGTGGACAGTAATCACTGTTGTTTACATACATTGGGTAAATGAATGGAAATACCGAATTTTTCTACTTGTTCTTGGTCTAATATAATGTTGAGCATATTTTCTCGTATAAATTCTAAGGGCAGATCACTTGAATGGCATAAAACTACCCTACAAATAGAGCTCTTTAGTGTGCAGTGTTAAGAGCGTCCTTAAGTGCAGCGTGTGCATTAACCTGTGAGAAGTGTAAAGTTTTAACTCGCTTATTGCTTTCTTTAAACTCTTATAAACGTAAGGACATAATATAATTGTGCGTTACAGAATTTCGAACGGGTTGCTTAGGCCAAGTGTGTCAACATTTGATGAAGTTTATGGTGCGTGCGTAAACTTATACATTATATACCTAGTTGCGTATCTCAAAGGTATGACTAACTTATGATTGATACGGTAGCGTGCGCTGAATTTAAAATATATGCCTATACAATGTTTGGTTCGCATTCAGCGAAATCTTACTCGTACTACCATTCTGTTGGGTACTCTTTAGTTTTGAAATCTTATCCTTAACGCTTGAAACGTATTCTCAATAATTACAAATATCCTTATCCGATACCTCTATATTTGAGGTAGTTAAAATGTAAGGTAATTAATCTCAACACACCATAAAAAAGCAATGTCCGCAGAAAGGTAGGTTATAACTTCTTGCTGATATTGAGAATGCGTATTTTAAAAAAAAAAAGATGTTTATATTACCTAGTAAATCTTGAAGATAGAAGTCATCGACTTTTTTTTCGACAAATAAAACAATAGTTTCATTAGCATACTCAATATATCCCAGTGAACTTGAAATAGAAATAAACCATAGAGTCTGCAATGTCATATTTCATATTTGGATGTTTTGCCAATTGACAAATAACTTGTAAAACAAAAAAAGATGCCTTTAGTATTTTCATAATCAACTTTCCTATTTAATTTAAGAAATTGTATGACAAACGAGATAACTTTAGCTCACACATCATCAGCTTTACATTGTAAAAAATTGCTTTAATCTATATGCTGTTTATATCTTCCAACATATTCAAGAGGTGGGTTCGCTAATGGAGGATGTGATCAGTCAACAGGGATGCTTACTCCTTCGTGGCACTTGAACCGACCTCTTGAATGTCCAGAGATGATTGTTTATTCCCAAATCACATTTTTGTATTGTTTGTACATATCTTAAAGATCGATTCTTAAAATACATTTAGAAAATATCCATATATAATTTTAACCGCTGAAGGAATTAATAAACCTTTTAGTTAATACAGGTTTATTTATTCAGAGTAAATAGAGTTTAATACAAATAGTTTGTAAAAATTTATTCTGATATTAAAATTCATATGAATTGAATTGAACGAATCATGTGGAGAAGATAATTTGATGAATTTCCAAAAAAATGTTCTTGATTTCAATTTTTTTTTACATTATAAACAAATATTTTTAATATATTGAAGTTAAAATTCAATATCTGAGGGATGTTCAGCTCCAAACTTTTTCACATTATCTTCATGGCTAGTAAGTTTATACTTTTGCACAGTTTTGTTGACAAGTCGAGAAGGCTTCATCACAGTCTGGACAATGCAAACGTCGAAGTAAATCTGATTCACCTAAACTGTCGCAGATTCTATTGCATTCAACGTAGGAATCCAAACATGTAGAAATACATGGGTCTCCTAAACAGCCATCGGCAAGAGATATCAACATCATTATCAATGCAAAGCGAAGGTACATTTTAAAATCCTGAAATAGTATGAAAAAATTCATTTAAATTTTCTTAAATCTTACCGATTATTCTTAATTGTATGTATAAACTGCTTTGTTATTTGAGAGAATTTCTAAAAGTTTAATATTCTAAGTACAAGGCCAATCAAATTCCATCTCAGATTTGCAAAATAATAAATAAATAAAAAATAGATAAATAAATGAAAATAAATGAATATAATAAATATTTCCTTCTGTATGTATACATTTTATACATATATATTCAAAAGAAAAAAAATTGTGGCGATACATATTAAAAAACTGTTCATCCATGCCATTAAAACAATTGTCGTTGAATAGTTAGACGACTACGATTAAGAATTCCAAAAGTATTTTTTTTTGTATCTAAGAGAGGTAATGCATTATACATGTATTTAATTCTAAAATAAAATAGATCTAAACAAACAGCAAGAGTGTAAATTATGATAAAATAACCGGAGAAATAAATATGTTACCTGTATAAACTCCTGTCTCAAGGGTCTAAAATGGAATTAAGACGTTGGCGTTATGTATATTTTATTTGGTTTCATCAAGGTATTTTTCCAGGTTTTTTTCGGGGTTAATTTCCAGATTTCCAATCGTCGTGGTAAGCTTTTTATTTTTTAGATAGGAATATTTACTTATCTGTGATCGTCGTTGAACTTTTTGTTTTCGATCAATCAAGTACTTGTTAATTGTAAGAGGCAAAAGTATGCAAGACAATCTCTCTCTTTTAGCTCACCTGAGCTGAAAGCTCAGCTGAGCTTTTCTAATCACCACTTGTCCGTCGTCTGTCTCTTCGTCCGTCTGTAAACATTATCAACTTCTTATCAAGAACTACTTGACCAATTTTAACCAAGCTTAGTACAAAGCATTCTTAGGTGTATGGAATTTTAAATTGAAGTGCCAAGTCCCCATTCTAGGGGAGATAGTCACGAAAAGACAAAAATAGGGTTTCATAAATAAAAAAATCTTCTCAAGAACCATTGGGCCTGAAAAGCTGAAACTTACTATAGCTCAATATTTTTGCGACACCTTATTTTCACGAGATAGTCATTGACTCTTCGTTAGCGAGATAAAATTTTCACGAATGGTTATTGCTCTATTTAATCTCAATGAATACTATTATACGAGAGAATCAAATTTTCGTAAGCACACTCTCTTGCGTAATTACTATTAGATAAAGTTCTTGCGAATAAAAAGTTATTTACAGTATGTGGAAGCATCATATGGTAGTGTAGATTCTAAATTGTTCAAAACATGACCCCCGGGATTAGGGCAAGCTGCAATAGGGAATCCAAGTTTTACAATGAAATATATAAGAATAATCTTTAAAAATCTTTAAAAACCATCGGGCCAGAAAAGCTGAAACTTACGTAGAAGCACCCTGGGTAGTGTAGATTCTTGATTGTCCAGATCATGACCCCCCAGGGGTTGGTTGGGGTCAAACTAGGTATTAAAAGGATGGTCTGGTTAAGAACAACAGGGCTAAAGTTACTTAGGTGAGCGAGGTGGAACATTGGCCTCTTAGTATTTGTTTGTTCGTTTTTTTTTTTTACAAAAATCAGGAGCATTTGTGTCAAGCATTCTTTTTCATCATATGTGGGAAAAAAGATTCATCTGACCATATCATGTATTTTAGGTATCACAATTTTTACTAAAATATCATTTCAGATAATGAAAACAATTAATTCTGATGTCCATGACAACTGGTTATGTTTGGATCGCTCTATCTTTGAAAAAAAAAGTACCCTTGATTTTGGTTGCCCGCGTGGTTAGAGCGTCTACTCCAGAGTCGCTGAGTTGATCATTGCGTCGCAGGTTCAGATCCATTGCAGGACGTGGAGACGAGTCCATTGGATTATACTATATAAGCGGAGATCTTGTATCGCAGTATAGGTGTTGCCACAAAAAACTCGCTATTTAATGACCCTAGGTAACAAGCTAGTTTAAAAACTTTGCATCCCGCATCCCCATATCAGTGAAGAATTCTCCAGAGGAATGTTTAACAAATGCAAAATTAAAATAATCCCCAAAATGGAGATTGTATATGGCTGAACTAAATATTCTGTCAATTCAATTTAAAGAAAACAAAATAAATTTTATGAAAAAAATTGATTTACAATATGATTATCAACAGTCTTGTTAAAAGTAATCATTTTACAAGTTCTATGATCAAAACAATGATATTTTAAACAAAAACAATATATCATTATATCGAATGCTGACGGAAATTTTTCAAAATATTTATAAGGCCCTAATTTACACAATGATTTATATATGATATATTTATTAAACGACTGATAGGACCGGTCAACAGGGGATGCTTACTCCTTCATGGCACCTGATCTCACCTCTGATGTTTTAGAGGTCATATAGGAATACATGGACATGGACATGCATGCAGATATGCTGAATTCCAATTGGTTAATATTCAGGTAGCCTCCTATCTTTGAAATGAAATTCTTTGAAATCTAAAATGATGGAGATGAATCAATATAAATATGTAAAAGTAAAAAAAAAAAAAAAAACGATTGTCATGACCTGTGATTTTTTTCGTTATTGATCAATATTCCTGTAAGATATGACGATGCAAAAATTGTTTTGCCCTATATTTTTCTTTAACGCACTAAAAACTTAATCATCAACCTAGTTAAGTTGGTCGTTCGTTACTTTGTAAAACGAATTAAGAAATTCAGTTTCCCCACATTTTTCTTATTTGTGTGGGAAAACCAAAATAAAAAAAAACACACACTTTCAATCAAATATCAATGAAAAGGATAAAAAAAAAATGTTAATGAATACGTATATACAGGAATACAATTGTGTTTTAAATACTGACTAAATTAGTTGTATTTTAAATTTGAAAATTAACATTCATATAAATATATTTATATGTATTCCTATGAAACAGAATATATTCATCAACTGCTATCTGAAAAAAAAAAATCACTTGTTGACCTTCAACTCGCATAAATTGACGATGTATTGTCACTTTCCAATAGTAAATTTCATTCATATATCGATTCATATATCCAAATAAACTTAAAATAATGATACCACATATTTTGTCACATCTGTTTCATTTTTGGATGTTTTTATGAATATAGAAAATATTAATCAACTATATTTGATAGGGATAAATTATCAACTACATTGCATGACAAAGGAGATGACTTCAACTTTTTCATCGTCAACATTCCTGATTTATGCATATACACCGCTTTTCCCGAGTTTATTCTACACTAAAGGACATTCTCCGAGTACGATTAGCTTTTAAATTAAGGTCTGACTACAGGCAGATATGTTGATGTAACAGATATCTTAACAAGGTCGGTTAAAGCTAATATTTTGAAGATAAAGTGATTATTATGATGACCTTCTTGCAAATATATCTCACTGGGTCCTATTTTTTTGTCCCCCGCTTGAAAAGTGGGGGATATTAATTTGGATTTGTCCGTCCGTCTTTCTGTCTGTCTGTAACGCTTTCGTTTCCACACGATATCTCGAGAACCCTTTGAGCTTTTGCAATGAAATTTAGCATAGCAACTCCCTATGGACTAAAAAAGAACCCTTTTGATTTTGAGGTCAAAAGGTCAAAGGTCAAGGTCATAAATAAGCAAATTCTGTCTGTTATAATACTTTCGTTTCCACACGATATCTCTAGAACCATTTGAGCTATTGCAATGAAATTTTACTTAACAACTCCCTGTGGCCTAATAAAGATCCTTATTGATTTTGAGGTCAAAAGGTCAAAGTTCAAGGTCGTAAATTTACACATTCTCTCTGTGTGTAACACTATCATTTCCGGGCGATATTTCAAGAAGATTTTGAGCTTATTCAATGTAATTTTATACCAAAACTCCCTAGGACCTCTCTTACCCCTCTCAAAGTGCCCCGCCCCGTTTTTTTATTAGTATTTATCAGTTTATAGTATTACATGTCGTTATTTTTAGCACAGGGGCATGAGGAGAGTTATTGCGTATAAAACAGGTTCTCAGCGGACTTTATGTTCTTATAACATCTATTAGAACTGTTTAATAAAGGCTAAATAAATCAAACACCATGGATTGTGTAAAATTTTGACAATACCGAACATGAATATATACATGTATGTGACTTCACTTCTGCATATACTTGTCTCCATGTAAAGCGATTCCGTGGTCTAGTGGTATGTTTCTCGCTTCCAATGTGAGAGTTCCCGAGTTCAAGTCCCGGACGGACAACTTTTTTTTTTGAAATACTTCTTTTTTTTTTTTACTAAATAATAGTATTCAGCACGCGAAATGAAAAATTTACGAGGTCTGGCTTGTACAAACTCATAAAATCATCATTACAGTGTGATAAATATTCCATATAAAAATAATCTTCTATACACATAATAAAGAATAAGCAATTAAATCTTTATATCCATAATGGTATATTTTATTTGTTTCAGTATACATGCATGAATACATTTAATAATTCTACAAATTCAGTGAGGGGGGTCCAACTCTCCCCCCTCTCTCCCCCCGAACTGCGCATGTTTTACTTTTTCCTTAAGCGGGGGACACAAATTCTCTGAATTAGCTTGTCTTATCAATATCTGGCAAATTGCTACACATGTATGCCTTTGTTTTTATACTGAATTTGGCTATGGTTTATTTTTGAATTTGATATAACGAATTTAACAAATTTATCATAAGAAAAAGAAAGAATTCTATATCAAATTAAATTTTTTGATAGATCCTAAATGGGCGTCTTTTGTAAACAAATGTCCTGAAGTTAAGTTTTTGTCGTGTATATTTTAGAGACCAATACCATTTTTCTGCAATATGATATTTAAAAAATAAATTTGATCAATGATAAACTTTATGATTCAGTGTGATGGAGTAAAATTTATCCTTTATAAAACTCAAGGATGGTTAAAAAAATATATCTCCATTGCTCAAAGGCCCCGAGTGTTGAGTATTGATCTAAATTTTCAGCCCTACACCGGCAATAAGTGGCGTTTCCATATGAGTGAAAAAAAATTTATTAATCTAAAAACATTGAATTAGCATAACCGAAACAGAGCGATATGGTTCAATGTGAACACGATTGATTAAGGTTTGTGGTTTAGCTAGAGTAAAGTGTACAATTTTTAAAATGCGGTATATACCTTTTTTTGCTTTTTTAAAAGTTTTTTTTTTTATATATATTTGTTTACCATTATTGCTCGTTTATTAAATCAATACAGAGTGGACTTGGCGGATATGTCTGATTCTATGGAATGTTTACTTCCAATGTTTACTTCTTTAGGATATCAGATTCCAACTCTGGAGTATTGTCTTTGTCCAAGACAACATGTAGCATTCTAATTAATACATTAATCCGCAGCCAAGTTGACATGAAATACCATGTCAGTAATTTATCTTTAAGAACACAATGATTTGACTTTTCTAATTTTCTGATCAGGACAAGGAGGACACGGTGGGTGTGACCGGTCGGCAGGGGATTTTTACTCCCTTTGGCACCTTATCTCCGAGGTCTGAGGCCCGCGTTTG